GTGGCCTCTGGAAGCGGATGGCGTCAACCACCGCCCAGCCCCTCCGCCGTTAGGCGAGCTAGCCTGCCCGTGACGAGGGCCGCTCCAGCTCATTCGTACGATTTCGCGAGTTTCGCGACGTGACGCGCGCAAGACCGCGTCTGGCGCCCAACCTTCGTTTTCGCGTGGAGCTTTCGGTCCGCGGCACGGTACGCGCGGAGCTACCGAGATCCCGCTCCTTTCCAGCGCGTTATCGCTTCCCTTTGGAGTTTTTGACGACGACCCGATCCGTCCGTATCCCGCGCTTCTCGCGCCCGGCGACCGCACTCCCCGTCGTCGGCGCGCCTTTGCTTAAGATCCGCGCGCGACAGCGAGAGCGGGACGGCAACACCCGTCCGTCCGCGTGCAACGGGAGGGCGGAGACAACTTAGAGAGAAGGAAAACATCGTCGCAATATATATGCAAGCTCCATATCCGACTTCACTGGCGTCGCAAAATCCATGTAATTGAATATCGCGAAATTCTGGTGCTATTAACCCGCGATCGAAAGAAATCTGACGTATCGAATCCAATTGTTGAACAAATTCTGACCATTCTGTATGTAGACTTTGCGGAACAGATTCGTCCCAATGTGTTCCGCATCGCCACACATCTTGCATCAATCGGTTAGCGTGTAAAATCACCGGTCCTAATAATCCCAATGGATCGAACAGCTTTGCGATTTCTGATAAAATCTTCCGCTTAGTCACCATACCCGTTATTTTAATCGGTTGTGTCGTATAGCATATTTTATCGTCGCGTGTACTCCAAGAAATACCTAATGTCTTTAACGAGTAATCTCCGTCTAAAACGAAATTGGCATGTAATGCGTTATCTGACAAATCATCGATCGCGCGCGAGTTATTAGATGCCCACTGTCTAATAGCGAAACCACCCTTTTTCAATAGAGCGATTATATCATCTCTAATTTTCCGAATCTCCTTGAGAGTCTCGGCACCCGATAACAAGTCATCGACATATAAATGATTTTTCAGAACTTCGGCTGCCCTAGGATAGATGTAACATTCGTCATCTGCGAGTTTTTGTATCGTTCTAATTGCCAGGAATGGGGAAGAGGAAACGCCGAATGTGAGCGTATTCAATTGAAATGTTTCTATTTTACCTGCCTTACGCCAAAGAATTCTCTGAAATCGTCTATCGTCTTCGTGTACTAATACTTGCCGGTACATTTTCTCAATGTCAGCAGTTATAACGTATCTGTACTTACGGAAACGAATTAAATATGCAAATAGTGTGTCTTGTATCGTGGGCCCTGTCATTAAAAGATCATTCAAAGATGTATTATTGTTCGATTTCGCAGACGCGTCGACGACTACTCGAAGTTTAGTTGTACAGCTCGACTCTTTAACTACTGCATGGTGGGGCATGTAGAAACCGACATCATCCGGATTTTTTACTACCGACATGTGTCCTAAACTTATATATTCGTCCATTACGCGTGTGTATTCATTTTTCATAGACTCATTTCCGTGAAATTTACGTTCCAATGCTGAAAAGCGTTTAAGCGCAACCGTTTGTGAATCACCAAGGCGATTAATTGATTCACGGAATGGTAAACGAACCACGTAGCGTCCGGTTATATCTCTAATAGTATTTTTCACGAAATGTGCTTCGCATTTAATTTCTTCTTCGGATTTTGGTTTTATAGTTGTTATCTCTTCGATCGTCCAAAATTTAGCTATTTGGCTTTCGAGGCTCGTTAGGCCGCACAAGAAAGATTTTGGTGAGTCGTTCAACGTCGTACTACCAGCGAGCACCCAACCTAATCGCGTTTTTTGCAGAAACCTAATCGCGTTTTTTGCAGAAACAAATCTTGGTTTTCTTTAGATAAATTAATTTGACCGACAGACAATAGTGATAGCGTTGATCCGGATCCTATCAATAGGTCGACCGGACGGGGAATATGAAAGTCTGGATCCGCTAATTTGATGTTTGAAGGTATTTGGATTAACTCTCGCGGAAACACATCAAATGGAATAAAATCTGTTATGGTTGTTATTGTTAGACATGTCAGGTTTCTTGCAAAATCTCCGCGTATCGATCTTATCGTAATGTGTACAATACCCTTGGATTCGGAACTCGTTGCATTGATTCCACTAATTGGCAATGAATGTGCGTCTGCTTGTATGCCTAAACGTGATATGATCGACTCAGAAATAAAATTTGCAGTGGAGCCCGTGTCTAATAAAGCGCGACATTTGACGGGATTACGATCGCCGCTGTGGACATATACCATCGCACTCGTCAATAATTGCGGTGTGAATGCGCGAGATGTTGTTGTCAGACCCGCCGTTCTTTCTTCGATTGATTCATTCGGTCATCCGGATTTGGCTGTTTCGGATTGTGTCGCGTCGGATTTGTTTGGATGCGCAAATTTGTCGAGGTGCAAAAGCGTATTATGTCTCTTATGGCAGATCGTACAACTGGAGAATTTGCATGGACTGTCTCGATGGGAACGTAAGCAATTATAGCAAACTTTCGCGCTCCTCACCATTTCTATGCGTTTAGGTACTGTTAGCTGTTTAAGGGGATGCTGGACTGACTAGAATTACCGACATGTAGTGTTGCTCACCGCATTTCGAATTGGCTTTACAGAATGAAAAATCCTTTAACGTGCTTAAAGTACATACTCAAAGAGCCAGCAAGCTGGTCAGTTTGAGACTAAAAACGATATAAAATTATAAAAAATAACTTGGTGTTGCACGTAAGCTGACTATTTTCGAAGAACGTTGGCTTATTTGTACCAATCGAAAGCACCATGCTATTCGTTTAACATCAGGGAATAGTGTCAAATCATAAAAACTAAGATTGAAGGCCTCAGAAGAAAGTTAGGTGTACAATTTTATTTAGGCAAATACGTATATTTTTATGCTCGTGATGCGTCACGGAATGGCCGTGACTAGGTGCCAGCTCTTCCAACAGATGGCGCTGCAATCGTACACACATATACAAATGTATACCAGTGAGTGTGACCACACAAAGAGAGAGGACGTATGTACGTGTGCGATGAAAGCTTCAGCCAGCTGCGGACAAAACATGTTCTCCGTTTTTCACCCGTCATATCGTACTCTCTTTCTCTCGCGCTGTATTTTCGTTGCTCGTAAACAAGAAGGCTGGAAGAAGAGATTAGTATCGTTTTAAATATTTACTCTGCATATTATCTCCGGTGGGAAAATAGTTGTATTGTATAATATACTTGCATCACGAAAGGGAGAGCGAGCGAGAGAGAGAGCGAGCGAGCGAGCGAGAGAGAGAGAGCGAGCGAGAGAGCGAGCGAGCGAACGAGAGAGAGAGAGGGGGAGAGAGAG